TGGGGGGGGGTCTCGGTTCGGGCTGTGGTGAGGGTGTTTCTTTTGGGGTAGCCGCTGTGGGAGCTTTGCATCCTTCTCGCTCCTGCCGCAGTGTGTCCTCAAGCGGCCTGGTAGGCTGGTGCGGGCGCTTCTCGGGCTCTCTTTCATCTCCTACCGGTAGCGGTGCCAGGTGAAGCCTCCTCTGGACGGGCTGCTATGATGCACGCTGTGGTGTGTTGGCCGAGCAGTATAAGTGCTTCGTGGGCTGCCCTCTACCCTCCCGCTGCTGGTGAAGCGATCTCTGCCGGCTGCATCTGTGAGAGAGCTGTGGGCCGAGCTGGGAAACGTCAGAAATCCTCCTTTACACACAGCGCTCTCTGCGAGATCGTGCTTTGGCAGCAGGCGTGGTAAAATCGGAACGAGGGGTGAGGATTAGCGCAGCCCTTGTGTAAGGGTGATGAGCAGATTCCCTGAAGGTTGTCTAGGGAATTTGGCGAAAGCTGCTTCCCCCAGCTCATGAGTTGTTGTTCTATCACTTCAGGCACTGAATAAAACGCCCAAACTCCGGGCATGAACTATAATACCAAGCTTTTATCTTACAACAATGATAAATGGTTCTGCTTAGCTGTTTTGTAATGCTATGTTAAAAAAAGAAACAAGATGCAGTTCTGTACTGATTTGTTTAATGTAGTAACAGTATTGATATGAGCAAGCAAACTCAGCTTTTAAGTCTTTATTCTTACTGTAATTGTGTTCAGTATTTTTTTTGTACTGAAGAAGTATAAAAATAAGCAGTGACATCGGTACAAACCTAGAAGCAATAGTTTGTTTCTTGCTACAAAAAAACCCTTAAGAAATCAAATAAACTAGTACTGGCTTTAACCTTTTGTATTGCTTCATGCTATATACTACTTTTTTTTTCCCCCCAGAGTATTTTGATTTAATTTTTTTTTTTATTCATCTGCTGAAGCATTTTCTCTAAGGAGAAATTTGAAGTTTATCTTTACGTTGGTTTCTGTAAAATGATGGGAGTTTCCTGTGCCCCTTATTCACTAGTTCCACAGTCACTTTGGATCAATACAAGTTGCTGTGGTCCAGCACACCAGCCCAGTTTGCCATGCAGCTAGGTGAATGTTTATGCTGGCACAAGGGGCAGAAGGCGTGAGTGGGACACAGTGCCTAGAGGATCTTAAAAATTAAATTTGTAATATAGAAAGGAAGAGAGCTTTGCTTGTGTTAAAAACAACCAACCAAAACCACCTTGATATTCTAAGTGGATCTTTGTAAAGCAGCCTCTGAATAATCATATTGACTTTCTTCAACAAGTAATAAATAAATGCGTGTTTTTAGAAAATACAGCTCAGGAGTTAAAAAAGAGTTAAATATATAACAATAGCTGGGATATGGATTTTATTTAAGTCCTTTATTGTAGATAACAGAGGTAAAATTTGATTTACTTCAATTCTGTATTTCTTTCCTCTTTGGCCATGAGTTAAGTGGAGCTGATTTACCTGAATGCTCCAATGCTGACTTGGAGGCCCAACAGGATAGACACCAGAGATTAACAGTGAAACCAGCCTTTCAGTCCATGCAAGATGTGTGATCCTCTGTTTCAATTTTGCTGACATTTTAACAGACATTTTCAAAACTTAAAGTCAATTTGTCTTAAACTTATTATTTAAAAAAATACTGTGAAGTAAAATTAAGAGTATGTACTTGCTAAAAGGAATGTTGTTGTCACTGAGACTGCGAAAGGCAGAAGCCCTGTGCAGTGTGTGTTGGTGGCACTGAGAGACATAGGTTCTCCCGGGTGGGAATAATTTTCTCTTTGGAATGACTTTGTGTTTGTTTGAATTCAGCTAAGTAGTTTTCTTAGATGAGTTTCCAAGACCTGTTTATCTTGCGGGGTATTATTTAGTGAATAGAGATAGTAATTCTTAAAAACTACTATAAATCTTTTAAGAATTAGGAGAGTTCCACACTTTCAAGGAGAAAAAGAGTACTTCCCTGAAACTGCATTTCCCATGGTGCACAAGGCTGGGTCAGCTGATCTAGATTGTGAAATGTTCTTTATTTCCTGTCCAACATGCATTGAAATGACTCCTGTGTACCAATGTCTCATCTTTCCTTTGTCAGGTGATTTAAAAGCTGCGACCAGAGTTCTGATTTAGAACAATGACAAGAAACGGAGCTGCCGGAGCTGATTAACTAGCTTGATATTTGGAAAACTGCTTTGTTTGTGGGAAAGAGGTGTCCTGAAGAAGTAACATACTGCAGTCTGCCCTGTTAACTTCATGGGAAAAGGTAGAGAGAATCTTGATTTTTTTTTTACCTTCCGCACCAAACCTTTCTTTGAGGGTTTTTTTTTTTTCGAGTTACTGATTTTGCTATAAATTATTTAAAAGAGTTACCAGATTTCTTGATTGATCGATGGTTATGTCCTAGCAGCTAAAAAGTAGCCCTAAGTAATCATCATTTTTGAAGCTTTCTTTTTTGTTTTATTCTTTTTGCTTATTTCTTTTTAACAGAGTTTAAGAGGAAACTTTTAAAAGAAAATAGAGCTTTTCCAGGCTGAAGCTGAAGCGTTGGGAAGAAAACACAAAATGTCTCCTGAATCCAAAAAACTTTTCAACATAATTATTTTGGGACTCTCATTTATGTTTCTATTCACTGCTTTCCAAACATGTGGAAATATTGCGGTAGGTGGGAATTTCAAAACATACCACATTTCTGTCACAGTTATTCATCCTTTCTTGTCTTTTGTGTACTCTAATGTAAGAGTTGCTTTAATTGAGATTTTTTCAATGTGCAAAACACCTTGACATTTTGTCTCCTTTCTTTTGGTTTAGTCTTAACTAAATTAAGTTGGTTAACTGGGTAATTAAGCATGTTTTTTTTCTTGAAGGTAGCATAGCTACATATGTTGTAACTCTGCTTAGAAAGTAGAAGATTAATGAATCCTATCAAACGTTTGAACTTTAAAATAGTCTCTGTTTTGACACTTGGCAATATTTAACAATTGAATTACATTGGCTCTTCCATATTTCTGGTAATTCTGTGTAGTCCCTTTCAAAATGTTTGCCTAAGTTGTTATTATTAACCATGCCCCTAGTTTTTCCTAGATTGTTTTTCCTAATTTAACATATTTTTCTGCTCTAACAAGCTAGACATTGAGGGGGAGTATGAGGATAACATCTGACAAGTAGTCAGACTTCCACAATTGCTAGAACTGCCAAGTCACCTTCCATCTGAATAAGTAATTTACTGCTTTAGTATCGTGTATCTCTGTGCGTGCTGAAGCAAAATTGGGCGTAACATAACCCAAATTTGCTATTAAAAGCAGATTGTACTCTTACTACTTAAATTTTCGGAATCCTGCTAGACACACTCAGCCCAGATCCTCTAACTTGTGGAGTTGTTGACAGTGCTTTCAATATTTCAATATGCCTGAAGGACAGTTAGATTTCAACATACCTCTTGAGCCTACAAGTCTTACAACTTCTGTTTTCATGCATGCAAGAAGAATCCTTGCTGGGTTCAGACATATAAATGTCCTTCACTGCATTACAGAAATAATTACTTAGAATAGTTTTTGTAAAAGTCATAGTGCAGTGTGAGACTATACATAAGTAGAGCCCGGTGATCGTAGATGTTCTGCAATGAATTCACAGTATCTTGCTGAATTTGACCTAGTGATCATGCAGTCATGTAATTTATTGTCATTAAAGTCATTACAAGTGCCTTTCAATCAGATCTGCCTGCCAGTCCAACTAATTACATGGTCTCATAATGTCTAAAGCTGACTCAAGGGGAAAAAAAGGACTAGGGAAGTAACGGGAAGCCAAAAAGAATGGAAACTCTTATCAGAAGCTCATAGTTAGGTCAAATTAAGAGTATTTTGAAACTTCTCCTTTTTTCCCCACTTTTTAAATTAAAATAGTCATACTTATCTTCCTAAGAGAGGTGTTCAGTGAAACAAAAGTTTTGTGAAGTATTTTAAGGTCTCTGGTGAAATCATGTTGTAATTCTAAAGTACTGATCACTGCTTCAAACATAGACGTTTCCCTGCCAAATATCTCCTTCATCTTCCCTGTGGAGGTGTCGTGAGTCGTAATTGGCACTTTAAATTATTTTAAGTACTTTGTAGAGTCTATTAATGATTAATTCAAACGTTTGATACTGACTTCAAACTGATGCAGGTGTTCTCAAACTACAAGATATATGCTAACACATTACAATGTATGATTTTCTCCTCATAGCAAACTGTTATCACAAATTTAAACAACACGGATTTTCATGGCAGTGGCTACACAAGGTAATTTACACAGATCTTCTTACTACTTTGCTCCTTGCAGGGTGAAGGTAGTTGTAATTTCAGCTGGTAGAGATATACTCTCAAGAGATTGTAGTGTTCTGCTGACTTCACAATTTCATGACTTGCTTAAGGCAGTTTAAAAGTGGGCTTCTCACATTAACTCTAGTTCTGCAGTGAATTATTTCTAGTTGAACTATGTATTGCATGTTTTGCATGTTTTTTTTGTAGGGAGAAAAAACACCATATGGTCATCACATTCTCAGCATTTTATCTTAGGAGATGAAGAATGTGGAAGTTTTAAAGTAAATAAAACTGCTGACTAAGGCCTCGGTTGTTTGCCCGTGTACACCTTTGTGTGTTTGTGTAGGATACGTGGTGTGGATCAACTTCCAGGAAATGCTGCAACATAAATGTGAAAGGAGCAGTCAGAAAGATGAGAAGCAAAGCCACGACAAGCCATTCTGTTTGTTTATTGCTCTGGCATAGCCAAACTCGCCAAGTGTGATCAGGGACCTTTTGTACACCAAATTAAGTTGTCATATAGGAAAATTTGGTTGCTACTTTGAAGGGTTTACTATCTTAACTTAAACTAAAAATACAACTGGTACAAAATATATCTATAAAATTTCTGTGGTGTATTTGGCAGAAAATGAAAACCTCACTGATAGAGAATGTTCCAGAGCCTCATTCATCTAGAAGTACTGGGCACAAAAACCAGTAACTATTGTTAAGGCACGGTTTGACAAGTGCATATTGTAAATGACAAGACGTGCTTCCCTGCGATAGTTTGGGACTCTTCAGCAATCTAGGAAACTCTGTACACTCCTGTATTCCCATATAGAGTGCAAGGGGGGGAGGTAACGGAAGGAAGGAAATGTTTGACCGTGAAAGTTATGCAGTTACTTAAGTTATGTGTATACTTCACTTGATATTTTGGAATCAACTGAACATTCTTAAGTCAGTTGTACTTACACTCTATATTTTATTTTAAGTACTTAATCATCTCTGTTTATTTATCTAGCATGTCCATTATTTATGGAGTATTCTCTGCATCAAATCTTATATCACCTTCAGTAGTTGCGATAGCAGGACCTCAATTCTCCATGGTTATTAGTGGCATATTTTATAGGTAAGTATTAAGTTTGAATTTTTCTCTGCTTCTTTTGAAATCTTTCTTTCGTCACAACTAAGGTTCCCATTCCATTCGTGAAATTGTACTGGCTAAGGCAGGCATCTTGCAGAGATACTATCTGTATCAGTAGATGTGTAACTGCAGAGTAAATCAGCCTACTGGAAACAGAGTGTTTCTAGACTTTGCTGACTGTGGAGTTCAGGTTGTGGTCTGAGATTAATGACACTATATATATATACACACACACACAAATTCTACATGCTTAGTGGAGTAAAAAGATTACCTTTTCTCACATATGACCTAAACTATTTTCCAGTGTCACTTAGGAGAGAGTAGCTGATTTAGAAGAAGCTAAGTGAGATATCTGATTGTTAAAGAGCATTGTCCACTTTAAGTCTATATTCTATAAACTGATCTGTTCTATTCTAGCCTGTACATTGCAGTTTTTATCCAACCCACTACATGGGCTTTCTACACTGCTTCTGTATTTATTGGCATTGCAGCTGCTGGTAAGCACTTTTCTTATCCTGCTTGCTATTCTTTGGTACGTTTGTATATACCTCTAAAATATTTTTATTTCCTGAGCAATACATTGTGTATATTTCAGTACTCTGGACGGCACAGGGAAATTGCTTGACTATAAATTCTGATGAAAACACCATTGGAAGGAACAGTGGAGTATTTTGGGCACTCTTGCAGTCCAGGTAAGCTTCACTTTGTTGTTGTTGTTGTGTACACATTCTACTTTTTACGTTTTTTTGTAAGCGGGAGAAAGCATCAAAAATACTCCACTGGTACCTTGCAGTCAGTGAAGTGGGAGGGAAGGCCGGAAGCAACATTTCTATTGTTATTGTGCGTTACAGAACAACAAATGAATGTTATATATTGTGAGCCTCTGCTTTCAATGTGCTGAAAAGATACATTTCTATTAGGGGAGCATTTGACATCTGTAACAGAAATTTTGTTGATTGTGGAGGGCTGTGCTAATTTGTGTCAGAACCTGAATGCACTAATAAGCCCTAATGGCCTTGAAGAGCCTCACCTGGGGCCTCTACCACACCCTGCCCATCTGCCCATGGGCCCAGGAGCCCCATTTCAGCTCAGCCCTGGCCCTCCAGTTTCTCTGGAGCAGCATTGGAGGGCTGCTCGTCTCCAGCTCAGCTACAGCTTTGCCTGGCTCTGGGTGATCTAGACTGACTTTCCATCTTGGTTTTGTCCTGCCCTGGCACCGTGGACCTGCGTGGCGATCACCAGACATGACTCTGGCCTGTGGACTAAATGTCTGTCTTGACCTCTGACCTGCCTTGTCAACACAAACTTGTTTGATGGTCTGGACTCCTGCTTGACCCTGCCTACAATTTTTGGGTCTGCCCTGCTTGCCTCGCTGGCGTACTATGTGGCTGGGCTCTAGCTGGAGAGGTACCTTCTCTGCTGGATATGCTATCCCCCTTGACTCCTAGCCCTCCTTCCCTGAGAGAGCAGCCAGACTTTGCTGCTCCCTGACAGGTTGAACTGAAGATATTAAAGTTGGACCTGGCAATCAGAAAAGAGATCTTTGCTCCCTGACAAGTTGAACTGAAGATATCAAAGTTGGACCTGGCAATCAGAAAAGAGATCTTTGATCTTTGATCTCTTTCACAAAGAGTTCTCTGATATTAAGCTTTGAATGCTGCATGTTGATAGTTCTCTGATATTAAGCTTTGAATGCTGCATCAACCAAAAAAGCCAACAAAAAGCTTGGCATCAAGATCGGTAGTGAGAACAAGGTAGTGGATGCTGTATTGTTGCCATTGAGTATTTTGTGCAGATACGGTTTATGTCTCTCAGGAGAGTGAAATGCAATTAGGATATAGGAAAAAAATAACAAATGTGTGCAAGAAGATAGAGCTGCTCACTTGAAGAGAGACTAAAAAGGCTGGGACTCTTTCCTTTGGAGAAAAAGTGTCTGAGGAGGATTATACTGATGGGTTACTAAAACACGAAGGCAGCAGGTGAGCTGAATGTAGAACTGTTGCTCACCAAATGCTCTGCTACAATTCAGGTCACTTGGTGAAACTAGAAGAGGATTGGTTTGAAACAGAAAAGTGCTTCTTCATGCCATGGGTGATTAAACTTCTAGAACTTGCTGCTACAGGAGGGTGTAGAGTTGGATGGTGCCAGCGAGGTCAAAAGGAATCAAACAAATTCATGGGCAACAGATCCACACATGGTTCCTGAAGAGAGATACCTTTACCGCTCCTAATACAGCAGTTCTGGATATTGGGAGATAATCAGGGGAACAAATTGCAGAAAGTGGTGAGCCTGCACCAGGTGGCATTGCCAATGCTGTTGTGGGGACAGAATACTGGATTAGTAGAACATCAGTCTGAACCAATGGCATACTACTTGTGTTCCTTAAGTTTCAAGTTGCAGAATTAACATATCAGTGTGTTATCAGAGTAGCAATTTCCACAAACCCAACTAATCATGTGTTTTACAGTGAGTAAAATGCATGGCTTTATATGAGGAAACGTAACTCTAAGGCTGTCTTGAATCACTATTCATTTAGAATTACTATATTTCAGGAAACTGTAGGTAGGAACACAGAATTTCCCTTGAGCTGTTAACAACTGACTTAGCATTGCTGGGGTAATATTTCAGACAAGATACGTGACTCTTCTAAGGAAGTATTACAAAATCATCTCCGTAAATATGTCAGCTTTCTAACCTATACCTTTCCAAAATTAGAGGCAACTTAGATGCAGATTTCCTAATTTTTGCTACACCTTGTGTCTTGATTGCTGAAAATGAATAGTCAGCATTATGGGGAAGAATCCACCACTGTGTGTGAAGTTTTATATAGAGTAAGCAGTTTGTGTGGAGAATGACTAGTGTCTTTATTTCTTTCACAATTGCATAGTACTGTTTTTTTGCATAGAATAGTATTACCGTGATGCTACAACCTTAATCTTACCACAAAAAGTGCTGTTCACCTTTGTTTTCCTTTTTGTTTACAGCTTGTTTTTTGGAAACCTCTATATATACTTCACTTGGCAAGGAAAAACTCACATATCAGGTAGATATTGCTTGTTTATATGGGATGCCATCCTTTAAAATATGGGAACATGAATAAACCAGATGAAATAATGAACTAGAAAGTGGCAAGAAACTTATACAACAGCAGACTTTTTTCCCAATTTATAGTTTGATAGACTATTTTTGGAGTATGTTCTTGACTCAGAGTTCCATGGTACTCGTGGCCCTTATATTATGTATGTTGTTTTCCTGCGTGCAATGTGCTTTGAGTACCTTTTTTTAGGATATTATCTATGAAATTATTCAGAATCCTAGAATAGGTATAGAATAACGTAACTTAAAACTTAGAATAAAGTTTTCCACAATAGCTACTCTGGGATTTTCTGTTTGCAGACATGCTTGTGCCAAAATATGCTTATTTTGGGGAAAGCTATTCTGGAATGGCTATATGTTTAATATATACACTATTCTGTTCCAAAGTAAGCTCCTGGTGTAGACAGTCCTTCTAAATCAGATTGGAGACTAATTAATCTATGAAATGAAGGAAAAGAAAGGAAAACCATCCCGGTTCACTTCATGGCTGCACTAATTATTGTGCTGGCACAAAGTAGTGAGATCTGCAGCTGGACTGAGGCTGGGCTGCTGCTGCTTAAACTGGCAGCACTGCTGGAAGAGTGTGTAAAGAACTTAGTCTTCCTTTCTTGACATAATTTATGAAGACTACTTCCTGATGGGATTGTAATTAATACTATAGGGTTTTTTTGTTTGACGTCACACTAGATTGGTAAAGAGCAGGAATTAGAGAACAGTGGACCTTATTCTTAGGAATAAGCTGGATAGTGGTTGGGACTGAGTGGTTTTAGAGCAGAGATCTCTGGCAATTGTTTAAGGCAAGGTAAGTGGGGGTATCAGCTAAGAAAACTGCAATGGTGAAAATAGAACAAAGTCATAAGATTTTTAGTTATAAAAACTGAGCATTGCTGGAAAAAACACATTTTGTAAACAAATAGGGTTGATTGTCCCGTTCTATAATGACTGTTAGAGTTTTTCTTAAAGTAAAATATCTACTAGAATGGTCAATTATTTTAACGTTTGAGAGATGAGGATACTTCTACTGTAGGCAATCAGGAATAAGATGTTAACTTTTAAATGATAATTATCAGGGCTCAGAAATACCGCCCTGTTGAGATGAATAGTCCACTTCATGCCTCTGTTAGATCCGTCTTTTCAGGTTCTCCACAGACAAGGGCTTGGTGTAGCGCAGCACAGGTTAATTTTTAAAAGTTATCTTCCACATTCCTTTGCCTTTAACACAAAGGTTTAAATGTTATTGAAAATATTGGAGACACTTTGAACCTGGTGGGCCTGAAATTCTGTGCATTCTAAATTTCATTGCAGAAATTCTTGCAGAATAGAGCAATTAACTATCAGGGAGTTCTGCCGTTTCATTTCCCCCCCTCTTTAGATGTCCTGAGACTCCTCTTTATTGAAAAAATGTTGATTATGGAAGATTTAACAGCATTTAAAAATCAATTCCTCCTTTCTTTTACTACCTATATAAAGATATTGTACGCATTTCAAGGTGAAGCACATACTCTCTTTTTGATCTGTAATCACACACAAGTTATTTTTAATTGACACAGAACAATTTTACATTTGTCCTTAAGCTAAAGGGGAAGTAAATACAAACGTAGGCAACATCTTCAGAATCATATGTTAGTTCAATCACAGCTATTAGTTTTTTGGCTTTTTTTTTCACTGCTTAGTATTTGTAAATGGGAGTGACTTTTGTGTTACTTGCTGGTGCCAAACAAGTCGGTTGCGCAGGGCAGCAGTTGCCTCCCTCCAGTTGCACTTGGTGTGCGGTGTCAGTGAGGTTTCAGTGGTTTTAAGGCCTTTGTAGTTCACAAGCCTACCAGTTTATGATGTTACAGCACTAATATTTCTGATGCTAGTAAGGAGCTTTTCTCTAGGGTTTTGGGGAATTTTGCTATGTCCATTCTGAATTATCTAAGTCTTGAAAGATGTGCTTTCTTCTGCTAATAATTTATGCACTTCCTTTGTTAATTGGCTCATCCTTGGTCATAACCTTTGCATGGCAGAAAATGCGAGTGACACTTGTTAATATGCCGATATTTTATTGGCATCGTTAAAGTGAGACAGGAATTTGCCAGCAACTGGGTACCTTTTGCTCCACGTGAAAGGTAAGTTAGAAAATTAGTATGCATTTTAAACACTCTTCCGTAGTATGTCTGTTTTAGTTCTTGGAAGGTAGTTGAATTGGTTCAAGTTGCTTTTGTGCATCTAGTTATGACTCTTGTTTGTTTTTCCACAGAGAGTGATCGCAGAACTGTCTTCATTGCTCTGACTGTTATCAGTCTTGTGGGCACAGTTCTGTTCTTTCTGATTAGGAAACAAGAGGACACAAAAGCTCCAGGGGAGGAAGATTCTGCTAGTGAAATCCTGGAGGACGGCTCGTAAGTGCTTATAACATGTTGTCACATACGCTCGTTTGTGCTCCTACTCCTCAATGGAACATCACATTCACTTCCCCTCTGAACTGGAAACATAGATGTTATGAATAACCTGTAGAATTTACAGATTTAATAGAAAAGTGTCTGTACCTTAACAAGTGAGAATTAATGATCTTTATATGACATATTCTCAAGGGTGGAGTGTGGTACTGCACATTAAGTTTTCCATTAATGAGTAAGTGCCTTTGGAAAGGTATCTCTTTTTTTAACCTCTTTTCTGCACTGATTTTTATTAAATATGAATCTGCCTTTCATAGTCTATTTTGCCCTCAGTCAAGGACGAGAGGCGTGCCCTGAGGCATCAGTTTAAATATTTTTGTTTGATTTAAAGAACAATGAAAGTGTTAGAAAAAACATCAGTAAGTATGCCAGTGAAATAATCTTCAATGCTAAAAATGCTCAGAAGGAAGATTCTGTCAAGCAGGGTAATTTTTGAACAACATTCACTAGACAAGAAAGCAAGTAAGTTTTGTAGTTAGTAGTTTAGATTCTCAGAAACTTTAATAATACATTAGTATATTCCAGTACATAATGCTGGGCTAGAAAATGTGCAGAAAATTTGAAGAATGAAGCTGCCTTCTAGCACAGTGATACAATGTAGTTATTCTTTTTTCATTTTGATCAAGTCATTTATTTATCCAGGTCTGCACAAAACAAAATGATGAGAGCGGTGGCTGCCTTCAGTAAGTACTGTTTCACATAAGAGTTGTTTCAAAAAAATACTAACACATGCTTTCCAGTACAAATCACTTGGAACAAAAATTTGTGAACAGATAAGGTTTTAAGAATGCATTTCAGTTATTCCACTTTTAATATAGACTTTCAGGGCTGGCCCGCTTCGAAAAAGCAGGACAGCAGTGGTTTTCAGACAGAGATGACAGTTCACATAGGGACACAGGACTGAGGAGTTTTGAGCCTGATAGGAATTCAGCTGTCTATGCGAGCATTTGTGTTTTTGAGCCTAGCCAAAATTGAGCTTGCAACTGGAAAAGCTTGGGAACCACTGAACTACTCTGTGATCATGTTACTGTTGGTGTGCGATTGGTGTGAGCTGGCTCTCTGCACTTCACAAGTGCTCCTTTCAGGTGACAGGATCATACAAACAAAGCTTGACTGCAAGCAAAGAAAGTGAAGCAAACTTCACTTCAGTTACATACTAATACAGTCCAGGAGAAATTTGAAGGGGTGCTTCCTTGATGTAGTTTCAGATCCAAGCTATTTCACAACAGCTTCCTTCTGTAGATGAACTCCAGAAGAACAGGTCACCACTTGGGAAAGCTAGGGCATGAAAGTTTAAAAAAAAAAAAAAAAAAAATTAAGAAATGACTAACATAACAAGATAAAGGCAGAGTTATATGTTGTTTTGGTTTTGTCACCAAATGATAGCACTTAAACAACAACTTTGAACTGGAACATCTGCAGTTTCCATTGAAGTTTGATGTGGTTTGCCCGTGACTGTTAAGATTGTTTTGAGAATGTGGGGACCTTCACTGAGAATTTACTTATCCTTTCAGGAGACAATCACCATGAACTGAGAGACAGTACAAAAAGACAACGGACAGAAAATTGTCTGCTAATTGAAAACTGTGTATCCCCTCCTTAATATTCCCGGCCTTGCATTTCTTACAAAAAAAGGGTTTAAAATCACAGCATTTCTTTTAAATGACAGGTCAGGGTTGGTTTGTTGGCACTGTTTACTGTAATAAAGTCACAGTTGGCATAATTTTAACCTATTTTTGTGTTGAGCAAAGAGCAAAAGAAAGTGTAGATTATCTTAATAGAGTAATCAGAAGTTATATTAATTTCCATTATTTTGTCTTTGCAGAGCAATCTATAAAGCTGAGCTTCACCAAACAAATGATGCTTCTCAGTGTTACAACAGCCTACACAGGTATGAAGCAAGCAGTGTGTGTCATCGTGTAGCAGTGTCAGGGCATTGTTTGGAATTTTAACTCCAGAGCAGGATCGCAATTTGTATCTCTGCAAAATTTACATAGCTGGCTTTTATGGGATTTGGCATTACACTATCAATAGACTGTAGGTTATGTTTAATGCAATTGCATCGCTTTTGAATTAAAATAACGTTTGTACGTTACACTTTCAGTGTCACCTTCATTAAGGCATGTGAGATTTCCAGCAGCCTTCACTTTAGTCTTGGTTCTACTGGGAAACAGTTCAGCCACTTTCAACTATTTTTGTCATTAGCATTTGCTGTGGCAGGACTTCTCTTTCTTTTTAACAGCTTTAGTTAAACCTGGTCTGCAATTGTTAGACCAAGGTATGAGTTGTGGAATAAAAAAACATTTATTTTTGCCATATACTAAAGTGATTCTTCCACAAAAACACTATAAAATGTTCAAAACATTACTGGGATCCTTTAACAGTTTTTGGGGGGTGTTTCTTGCTCCTTATTTGGCTTCAGATTCTGTTCTGTTCATGATCAAATTAAGTTTTAGGAAGAATAGATGCATTTTTAGAACCTCAACTCTGAATCACTATTATGAAAAATTGTTGTTAGCTCTTGTAGGTGAAAAGAAAGACTTAGATACGAACAAACTATAAGCAGTTCTATAACATCTGCTGAAGTTTGCAGTCAGCTTCTGGTGGAGAAATAGCAGTAGTAGCTTGCACCAGCTACTAATCTGAGGTACAGCTTACTTCACAGCATCTGAAGTGTTGTGTTAACCCAAATTAACTAATTTGAATTCCTCTTCGATATTTAGTGCGATGGGAATGTGAGGCAAGATAACAAGGGAAGGGAATCAGTCAGGTTTGTTTTGCCTGATTAATCTGAAATTTGGTTTTATAGGTAGCAGGAAAAAAAAAAAATCAGTCCAGCTTTGAAAAAAATAGCTGCTGCCATCTGGTGGCTCTTGGTCAATATTGCCACTTTATGTAGGAAAATACAAAATCCTGTAAGGCCAACACAGCCTTTATTTCAAAAATTGATGGTTGGATTATTAAGACTACTCAAAGTTCACCCCTTTTTGAGGGTATGCAGTTCATATTCCATGTTAGGTAGCCTGCTACATGTAGACCGGGATATGGTGTACCATATTTTTGCAGTAGCAAAAGCCAAAGGAGGTAAATTTTTGAACTTTGTTTTTTGAATTCCGTTTTTGAACTGTTTTTCTTTGTTTAGGCATAATGCTTTGCATCATTTTAAATATGCTTTCTATTGTGGAACTGGCATTTTTGCATTGATGGTTGCTTATAGTCATGGTCGTTGGACTCAACTATGTTACCTTTCCTCGCAGTAGTGGCAGTAGAAAGAAAGAAAGAACAGTTTTAAATAAAGAACAGTCTTTCTCAGTTTTAGTTCTTTATATATAGAAAAGTAGGCATCTTAGCTCTTTTGGTATTTGGGGGTGCAGGGAGTCTTTCTTAGGAATGCCATAACTTGGGGGGGGGTAAAAAACTTACACAGGAAATTCCAAAGTTCTTGAAAAGCAGAAATATAAATTATATGTAGAGTTTGTGTCAACAGAAGCAGTACTGAACCTAAGTACGTGTGACACTAATTAGTGACACAGTGTTTTTTTCTAATACAGTTTTTGTAAACTGGCATAGGAGCATATCATAATTACATAGTTTAAAATTCCTTAATTGCTTCTATTACACACACCTCATTTAAATATATGTATTTGAAAGGTACTTTAGGAAAAAAACAGCCTTTAGACATAAGGAATTTTTTAATAACTTTCATAATAGTTAATCTATCAATTTTGTTGGGTTTCTTTCAAAGGTTTGGTATTAACATTCTTTTCTGGAGTATACGGAACATGTATTGGTGCTGTGAATAGGTTTGGCAGTGAAGAGAAAAGCCTTATTGGTCTTTCTGGTATTTTTATTGGTGTTGGAGAAATTTTAGGTGAGTCTAATCTTCCTATCTTATAGACAAAAAAAGGATTAAGATGATGTAGTTACTCAAAATGTTTTGGGTTTTTTGTTTTATTTAACTGAATAGTGTCTTTCAAGCTTCCAGCAATGATTATGTAAGCCAAAAATGAAATATTAGAAATAAAATTGTCAACATGGCTCCTTATTGCACTGTGAATTACACTTTATGTAAAGTGAATGTGCACTAGGATGTGAAATACTGATGACTATGAATCCTAAGATTTTGCATTCTTTTTGGGTTAGTGCAAAGAAATACATAAAACTTAGAACGAGAGAAACACTAGACTACAATGTTATTAGGGAGCTTTCAGCATTGTGATATTCCGTTTTTAAATAGTATTCTGTTTACATTTTTATTATTTCTTAAGTGATCTTATAACTTTTATTAAAAAGTATTACGCTAAAGATTTCTTTCTTTAAAAAAGTTAGCTTGTGTTCAATGCGATCTGACATTTAAATAAAATTGAACACAGGTAATGTTCATCAAATTACTTTTTTTTGCTTAAACTCAATTACTGCAGTGTTTAAAAAAAAAAAAAAAAGCAAACCAAAAACCCCCCACAAAAAACCCCCACCACTGTCTTTGTTCACTAGGAACTTGGATCCACAGAGATGCATGTTTTTGCAATTAAGACCTAAGCACAAGGCTATCCATTTGCACTTAGTACTGTTGCAATGCTGAGTGGCTGCTGGGAAAATACTTGCAGAAAGGTTAAGTGTCTTCATTGGCAATCATCTGATAAATCTCCTGCCCACATTTCCCAGACATTTATAGCAACCCAAAGGTTATGTCATCTGGCAAATGGGGCTGGCAGATCTGGCAAACTCCTTGGGATTGTGTTCACATCTGTCCATCTTGGTTATCCAATATGGGGAAGTTTATCATTTAAGCTTTCAGCTTCCCCCCCCCCAGTATTTTAAGTTTGGTTCTGTTCTTTACATCTTCAGTTCTGATTTAATTATCCAATCTTTCCCATTCATACAGGTGGAGGAATCTTTGGTTTACTGAGCAAGAATAATCGCTTTGGCAGGAACCCTATTGTGATGCTAGGCATCGTTGTCCATTTCATAGCCTTCTATTTAATTTTTTTCAACATGCCAAATGATGCCCCTATTGCTCCTATGGAAGGAACAGATGATGTTGCTTATATGATGCCAAGGTATGTGAACTTTTTCCTTTGACTGGTGTAACTCAAGACGTATATGAAGAGCTTGTTCCTGTAATAGAAAACTCCTTAAAGCTGCTTTTCTGTGTAGTGACTAACTCCATAGAAAAGGCTTCCAGGAATTCTGTTTTTGTTGAAGGTAGATATTCTGCCAGTGTGTGCCCAATTTAGGAATTTAAGTGGCATAAGACTAAAAAGCTTGAGGATCTTTTGTAGCAATTCTGTCATTGAGAACCGACATTCCTGATATCTAGTGCAATAGTGAGACCAGCAACTATTGTACTTGATGTCAGGAATTCAGTTTACTTTAAAACAACTTTGGGCTCAGTTTTGCTGCAGCAGGAAGCACCAGCCTTGCACTGTTGCACTGGTTCCCAAACTCTGAATGCTTGTTGTCAAGCCCACTTGGTCTAACTGGAGCCATGCTACCCCTGTCTCTTATACTGCTCAGTGTCAGGGGAAGAATATAGGGAGCTTTCTTATCTCATCATTGCAACTTTCTTTTGGGGTGCTTTTTTACCACTTTGTGTGAAAATGGCATTGTCAGTTTGTGGAGGCACAGCTGCTAACTTGCAGAAATAAGCATTTCTGCCTGTGCAGGTGACTATTCGTTATTTAAACTGGAGTATTTTACTGCAAAATGAATTGGTATTTCTCTGATATTCCTACAGTTTTTATGAACTCACCATGTGTGTCTCAGCTTTTAATCACTGCCTTGTGGGCTTTGTGACTCCAAGCACCAAAATGAGTTGTTCTGGTGGTTCTAATTTGGTGTAGAATTGACTGCAGGTAACAGTAACAGAAGTCTTGCATTCAAGAAATTAAAATCTGATGAAACTATTCTTTTTGCCAAGCCAAGCATTCCCAGTTCTTTTCCAGTGAAACTTAGTTTGATAACTTTCTTCCATTCTCACTTTCCAAAAAAGTCTGCCAAAAATAGTTTATAGACATATAAACTGTTTGAACGAGTGGCTTTTAAATTTGATTCACTTTCTCCTTCAGCAAAGAGGTGGCCATATTCTGCAGCTTTCTGTTGGGCCTGGGGGACAGCTGCTTTAATACCCAGCTCCTCAGTATTTTAGGATTCCTGTACTCAGAAGACAGCGCTCCTGCCTTTGCCATCTTTAAGTTTGTTCAGGTATTACATGACACAGCCTTTTGAAAGTATGACTGTTGGAATGTTATTGAAATACTGGGCTGGGTTTTTTTAATGAGCTGAGAAAAATTATGTTTCTGCAAAGGATTTCAACCTGGGTTTTTATCTTTCACAGGAGAGAGAAAAAGTTTTTTAGGTAGGAGTAGCTTTAATGTTTAGCTTGATGTGATTATATAATCGAACTGCTATTACTCACAAGTTCTGAGGGAAGTTAGAAGTGTTAGGAGTTGTAGTTTGAAGTCAAAAGGCTAGTATAGTTAACCAGACTTGGATTTTATGTAAATAACTATTTACTGAATTTATTTACTCAAAGTAGTCTTTGGCAGAGGGATGTGAGTTAAAAGGAAACAAGTTGTGTAAGTAGTAGTTGAAGAGTTTGTGGATGTTATACCATATCACTGGGAGTTATCAGCGGGATATGCCAACAAAAGAAGAATTAAGTCATGTTTATCAGTCCTTAAGTTGTCAGAACACTAAAATAAATCTACCTATGCTAGCTGGAGACTTGATGAAAAGTCTTACTACAATGTGAATACAACTGCTGTATTTTGGATAGATCGCTTCACTCACAGGCGTTAATCTTGTTTGGTACCGAACTTCCTAGGTCAAGATCTGTGTGGATCAGAGTTATCAGTAGAAAAACAGTGGTGCAAAGCACTGAAACTGTTCTTGCTGTCACAGCAACAGCTAACGTGGGGAGCAGAGGTCAGAGTGTGTCTAGCTTAAAAGATGACAGCTGCTTGCTTCAAAAAGATTTTTTTTTTCCTTGTGCACTGCTCCATTTTTGTATCATTCTCAGTGATGGGTAAGAATTTGAGATAGACATGGAATATAAAGATTCTTTATATGAGCTCTAATGAAAATTTTACCCTTAAAGGAAAGATTGCAAGTAAGCAACACTGCTTGTCAAAGCCTCTAGTTATTTTGATATAGAATAGTTTGTGATGCTGTAAAACTGGAAGTAGTTTTCTGGATTTTATCTTAAAGCCTTGGCAGTGTTGTTTCTAGACAAACTATTTTCAAATAACAGAGAACTGCACTTGTGATGCTACAAAAACTTTTGAGTTTTGTGTTCATTTTCTGCAGTGAACACTATTTAAATAACAAGTAAAAGCTACATCTGTTGTATATCACATCAAGACATATGCTGAGGTATAATGAAGTTTTAAGATTATATATCTTCTGCAGAAGCATACTACTGAGGGTTGCATATTAAACTGTGTGTATGTCAATTTGATAATCCTTGTATAGTAATGCAATAGTGGATATCTCCACTGATAATCTTTTTACGTTGTGTTTTTTCTCTCAGTCCATCTGTGCTGCAGTTGCATATTTCTACAGCAACTACTTCCTTCTGCAGTGGCAACTCCTGATCATGGTGGTTGTGGGCTTCTTTGGAACAATTACCTTCTTTACAGTGGAGTGGGAGGCTGCAGCAGCTCTTGTTGCCCGCGGCTCGGACTACAGCAGCATTTGATCTAGATACCGTGCCTAGTCCAATGTGAGGAAAAACGCAGGCGCGTTTATTGTGAAGTGATGTGAGAAGGTGAAAAGATCAAGCTGCTGCAGAGGTTAAGATGGAAGAAGCTATTACTAAATCACCGTCAGTCTAACTGAATGTGAAACATGGGAGAAAAAAAAAATGCCAAATTTGAACGGCTTTTTTTCTTGCTTTAGTCAACTGAGCGTGATATGCATGTTCTTAAAAATCCAGTATTAGAAGTGGAAGGAAATGTAGAGATCTATGTATTGAACAAGTCTGTTCTGAGACATACATTTCAGAATGTAATTGCCTAATTTCACTCTACCATGCACTACAGAATTACAGTTTAGTTTTTTTCCCCTTAAATTATTTTTCCTATATTCTAGTTCTGCAGATGCTCAAATTCTTGTATTGAATGAGTGATATTTTAATAAGGTATGTTATATCACAGAGTGTGTCTGCACAACTGAGAAATCAATTTATGTCATTGACTTTTTCAACAATTAGATATGTAGAAGTATTTCTGTGGGAAATATTGCCTTAGTCTGTATCACCCAGTTTCTTGTTTTCCAACCATTTGTTTATTAATCTATTTCATCTGCTTAAATTTTAACAGATGCATGGATTTTTTTGAAGAAAGTGAATCAGGTTGTAGTGTGACACAAAAGATTTTACAAGAATTTGAAGAAGTTACCCTTAGCCATCTTAAGGATGTGATTCTGAGATCTGTGAAGTATTGATAATTGAGAACAGTCTCTTGGTTCAGCATCTCAGAATTGAACTGGGTTGGCATAGCTGCTGAAACTTTCTCAGGGTAATGCTACATGAAGGACCATAAGACATGGCTTCCCTCCCAGACTCCCAAATAGTTCTTTTTGAGATCTATGAAATTTTTCATCATAATCTGTGATGGGAGCATTGTCTAAGATAACTTTTTAAAAGTACAAATAGACTCAGAATGTGAACTGTAAGAATAATCTTGCAGTGTTTATTCTACTGCATAGTCTAAAAATACCTGAAACGCTTGACGTAAGTTGTTTCAGGATATTTTGGGAAGACTGTACTGTAATCTTATTCTACCAAATGCGAAACCAAGGATACTAGCATAGTAACTAAGTTTTAATCCAAAACTGTTATAGATGGTATAATACGGGCAGTGAAAGCACCTCACCTTGATTTTATCTGTCTACGTGACTCTGTAGTACTTGCAGTTATGTTTCTGTCTAGCAGGCAAACAAGATGCAACCGAGAGCAGGTATGGAACACTGAGAAGGCGTTTTTAGACACTCCGTGTAGCTATTTTTAGAAAAGTACTGTTCGCCAACCTTTTTTATGCACAGTCAGAATGTTAATGTCTTGTCTTTAAAGACAAGTTAAAAAAAGTTGACTTGGTATGTGTCAGTAGCTCCTGCATGTCATAACTACGTAGGTGTGCCCAAGGTTAAACTTGCTGAGGGAGTATGGTATCTCCTGTGACCTCTGCTGTCACTTTTGCTCTCACAGCACACGTAAGACACGACTCCCATGAACCACAGACCTCTTCACATGCAGTAAAACAGCAGAGAGGGATTATTTTACAGGCACATAGAAAGGGATTTTTAAATTCACTGCAGGTTTTTGCTGTGAGATCAGTAAGGTGTTAATGGGAGGATAAGAGGGCACCTGAACATTTGGCAAGCAAAGAAATCTGTGAGGATGACTGGGAAAGAAAGCCTTTGTGTATTCCCAGGAGATCTAATGAATGATGTAAAAGAGAATGAGACAGAACACGCGTTTGAGCGAGGGGTTACCAAAGCCATTCCAATTTGTCAGACAAACTGAAAAAGCATTCAGTATTCAATCAATATATATATGATTAATGTGACTAGCAGCACCCTAATGCCTCTCTCTTATCCATTCCTGTTATCCTCTAATTTGAAGCATACTGTTTTTATATACTGAGCTCTGTAAAAGGTGTAGATGATAGGATGCTGTCAGTGATTAGAATTCTCTTGTTGCTACACATTTGTATTTTCTCCCAAGTACCAAAAGGGATAAAGAGCTTTTTTAAGATAGGGAATTAGTGACTTTTGTCTCCAAACTCTTCCTGGGACTTGTTTTTCTCATACATTTCAACAAGAGAAGAGACTTGAAAGTTCTCAAGGAACAATTTTGTCTTACAGTAGATGAAGGGGGGGGAGAAATGATTCTCAGGTCTTGTGATGATGAGTAACTTAGAAATGCTTTTAAAAATGCCATTTAACTGTAGCTAGGTTACAGCTCTTACGAGGTTGCTTTTTAAATTGATCCCTTTTAATGATGAACTTCTGTGATGTTCATCTGCTGTATAAGAATTATATGAACTATTTTATTAGAAAATAAAGAAAATTGCTAAGTTTATGTAGTTTCAAAAAGCATTTTGAGCCTGACTTTCAGGGATACTAATGAACTAGGACTTAAAGATTTTCAGTACCTCTGTGAATCTGATGCTTTACTTTTCTCTTTTTTTTCCCCTCTGTTCTGCTTGATCTGATAATATCAGATAATGTTAGAAGGCTGTTCAGAAGTATTTATTGGGTCATTAAAGTGAAGTATTACTGCTCTGTGACAAGTTTTACAAGAAATCGTGAAATTCTTAAACCTGCATCATGATAGCCAATTTTATGTTTTTGGGTTTTTTTTTTTACTATTGACTGTATAAGTATTGCTTTTGACATTTGTTCTGAAGAGACAGTTCTCAGTTATTCAAGCTGATGATGACACATGATTGCTTTTCACTTATTCATATTTCTTTGATTTGTCAGGAGGTGAAAAATCCACCCAGCTATACGCAGTTGTTAGTTTGGTCAAAATTTGTTGTATAGCAATATAAAGAATAGTAATGCTGACATCCATTTAGGGTTTGGTCTCTTAATCTTTTTTTCAGCATTTACCAGCCTTGAGGCTGCACCCTGTTCCTCTCACCTTGTTCTTCGAACAATTTCGTGTTAATCTGAACTGGGAGCATGCTGTTAAATTAAGTGGGTTTTGAAAAAAAGGCTTTTGCTGCATTTGTAGTATTGTGGGTTTGGTTTATATTAGGGATTTTATCTTTCTAAGTGAAATTACACATTAAGTTGCTCGGGTTTATTGAAAAGTCTTTCTTTTGTTTGTGTTTTTTTCCCCTCTTACCCTTTTAGGTTGTTACTAAGGTTAAATATCTTGACATATCACATCCCTAAGTTTTTCAAACAAATGCTAAAGAGGAAATTAAAACTGATATTCTTGACATTTGAATGCCAAAAGCTGCTACAAAGCAGTCCTTAATGCATATCATATAAGCATATCTATATTTTTGTCTTGCCAGTTGGTTTTCATTTTGATATGTGAATGTATGGAAAGAACATTTCTACAACTATAGACCTTGCTCATGATTAAGGGATGTGCTATTACTTTTGTTGTGTTAATTTAATAAGGTACAATCTATATTAGCAAGTTGAGATAAGGAAGAGAGTCATTTACAACATGTTCTTTATAAATAATTCTAATCTATAAATTTCTGGAGATACAGGTAAAGTCAGAAGGGATATAAAAAAAAGCAAATAAACCCCAAACCAACCATAACCTTTACTGAGGTCCTTATCTTAGCAGGAAACCCTCCTGTGGTACAGTTATTAAAAAAAGAAGTCGTCTGCTGGTATAGTTCTTTCAGTTTCTGTGACCATTTTAAACTCTAATGGAAAGAGAACTAGTGGTCTAAGTTTATGGAAAAATAATTTAAATGTAGAAACCCATAGATTCAGGACCGTGTGTCAGTTAACCAGACTAGGAAACTCCATTTGACTTTTGGAACTCCACGAGTTTACATCAGCTGGGGAAGGTGGTTCCCCGGACATCAACCTGACTAAGTGCCAGTAATTAATGTTGCAGAGGCTGCCTAGCAGCTTGCGTATGAAAAGAACCTCAAAGATTGTTTTCTAGGGCAATGATTGATTGTTTGCTCTCAGTATAAGTCAGAACCACTGTGTTCAACGTCATGTCAGTAGACACAATGCTCAGCTTTGACTCTAATTGCGCCTGTACGTTAGTTAAGACATGACCTTACAATCACGACCATTAACTCTTCTAGAGAATTGTGTTTTTTGAAGACTTCATCTACACCACTATTTTCCTTGGAAGTCTTGTAGCTCCACTGATGCTAATTGAATGGCAGCAGCAGTTACTACTGTCTTTTCCTTGTTCCCTGGTGGGTCTTCTAACATGCTGGCAGAAATATTAACAAAATGGGAGAATTTAAAGATGGAGATGAAGTGGAGAAGTTAGCTGCTTAACAAGATACTTGCCATTCTGAAATGACCACACTGTTTCAGAAGCAAGGTTGAGACTGGCGTAGTTTTCACAGATAAATTCAGAATGATGCTTTGATAAGTTTAACGTCAGAGATTGTGTTAAGTACCACAGAGAAGCACTAGTGAGAGAGTGGAAAAAACATCCTTAAATTGCAATAGAGAGTAAATCTGGAACTGAGAATAATTCTCAGCGTGTGAAGGGGTGCTTTGTTCAATGGAGTCTGGGCATTTATAGCTGCTGCTGGCATCGACTCAGTTCTTCTTTGTTTCATACTTGCTCTGCTATGTTATTTCACTGTTGATGTGTCTTCCTCCAACCTATCCTGTCTCTTTTGTTTACATTTGACACTGTAGAAGTATAATTTAAATGGTTGAAACTTTTGTTTTTACTTTAATAAAAGGTGTCTGGGTTAGAATTGGTGATAATTGAGACAGGCTCACACAATGATTATCCTAAGGAAAATGCTGACTTCAAGTGAGTGTACCTGACTCTTTACTGTATTTCTTTTCATGATCACAGCCATGCAAATAAAAGTGACTCACAGCCAATGTTTTTGTTAATATGCTTGTTAAGTGTCAGAATTGCTCTTGTTATGCCAGGGGCTTTGTAAAGGGTAAACACGGTTTTAACTGATGGATCTCAGAAGTGCTTTGTGGCACCTGTAAGGGCCTGCTTAGGAACATGAAAATGTTTGGT